AACGAGTTCTGAATGCTGTCTTCTGGATATCTTCATCCCGAACCCTCATCTGATGATAACCCGACCTCAAGTCTATCTTGGAGAACCAAGATGCCCCCTGTAACTGATCAAACAGATCATCGATCCTCGGCAACGGATATAGGTTATTGACCGTCAACTTGTTCAACTCCCGATAATCAATACACATCCGGTGTGAACCATCCTTCTTCTTGACAAAAAGGATCGGCGCTCCCCAAGGTGAGCTACTCGGTCGAATAAACCCCTTCCCCAACATCTCCTAAAGCTGCGAAGATAACTCATGCATCTCTGGCAGCACGAGGCGATAAGGCGCCTTGGCGATAGGTGCTGCTCCTGAAACCAAATCGATACGAACTCCACTTGCCTCTCCGGAGGCACGCTCGGTAGTTCCTCGGGAAAAACATCCAGAAACTCGCACACTATCGGAACTTCCTCAGTCGAACTTGGCCTCCCCGCGGCCACGCACGTGTCCAACACATAGGCTACCAATCCACTGCAGCCCTGCTGCAGACTCTGCCTCACCCTGGTAGCCGAACAAAATGCTGACCCGCACCGGGTCCCCTCGCCATACACCGTAAGCACTCCCCCACTAGGGTCTCGGATCGTCACCAACGGACGCTCGCAGTCTATAACAGCTCCAAATCAGCTCAACCAATCCATGCCCATTATAACACACACATCCCCCATCGCAATCGGGACCAGATCTATCGGAAACTCCACACCGAAGATCTCAAGGATACACCCTCGAATCACCTCCAAAGCATACACTGCTTGCTCATCCGCTATGGAAACTCGTAGAGGTCGACTCAGCGCCTCTCGACGGATACTAATGTGCCGACTAAATGCCAATGAAACAAAGGACCGACTCGCACCCGAGTCAAATAATACCAAGGCAGGTACAAGACTCACAATAAAAGTACCTACGCATCTCATCATATAAGCACAATATCGTAAACCAAAGATAAAATACGGAATACATACCAGCCATAATATCGGGCGCCGCGCAGACCTCCTCCGCATTCAACTGAAAAGCTCTCCCACGAGCCTTCGGAGCCTCGGCCTTCACCGGTCGAACCTCGGTAACCCTAGCAGGAGGCGCAGATCCCCAGTGTAGCTGAGGGCACTCGACCTTCCGATGGCCGATCTGGTTGCAATGGAAGCAAACCATAAATCCCTTGGGGGCAATCCTTGGCGATATTCCCCTTCTTGCCACATTTGTAGCAAGCACCCGATCGACAGGCCCCCTCATGACCCTTGCCGCACTTCCCGCAAGTGCGGGCCTTCTGGCCTCCAGTCCTCGAATCAGCGGAATTGGTCCGCTTGGCTGCCGGCTGAGACTGATCCGGCCGCCGATCCATCCTCTGAGACTCGGCCTCCTCCCTGGCCTGAGTCTCCAACTCAATCTCCCTCTTCCGGGCATTTGCCTGGATCTCGGAAAATGTCCGGTACATCGAGTTCGACACGAACTCCCGAATGTCCCTCCTCAAAATACCTAAATACCGGCTCATCCGAGCCTGCTTAGAAGACACCTGCTTAGGGCAGAACATCGCCCTCTCATGAAACTTCCGGGTGAGCACGGTAACCGAATCATTACCATGCTTGAGGGTCAAGAACTCCTGAACCAGCCGTTCCCTCTCCACCGGGGGAACATATTCGTCTCTGAACATGGTGGTGAACCTCTCCCAGGTCACCGCTGAAATCTTTGCAAGAGTGAAGTTCGCTGTCACGAACTTCCACCAATCCTTCGCTCCCAAGCGAAGCTGGTTCAAAGCGAACCGTACCCTCAGATGCTCCGGACATGATCACGTATAGAAGCATCCCTCAATGTCAGCAATCCATCTTATCACAGCGATCGGGTCCTGCGTCCCATCAAACTCGGGTGGCTTCGTGTTGTTGAACTCCAGGAACAACAACGAGTCACCTCCCTGAGGCTTGGCAGCAGCCACACCTGCTGTAGCTGCAGCGGCTACGGCCTCAGTCACCGCGGCGTACCGCTCATCAAAAGTCTCCAACAGTGTGGTCTTGATAGACCCACACATCTCCGGAATCTCGGCCTTGATCGTCGCAGCCACCTCATCATGGATCATCTGACGAAGCTCCTCGTCACTCACACCGCCCGCCTTAGGTCTGTGGCGTATCCCAACCATGATGCCTCTAAAATACAACAAAATGATCAGAGACTCGATCGAGCATACTCATACTCGATGACGCAACCCTACCCGTCCTCCGTTGTCCAAAAGATTCTTACTTGGAATGCCCGCTGATCCGGTGTCTTCAGTAGTATGGGCCCAATACTACTGACCACACTGCATCAGTATTCACTCCAAGTCCTCCTCCTTGGATCCTGGATTACGAGTACTCTACTCTCATGAGCTCCTAACTGCTATCTACTCGATCTCAAAGCATCTCAGCAGCAGGAATATCCTAGGCTAAGGCATCACAAATCAGGCCACTATAGTCCTAATATGTATACCTAGCCTACTCTAGCATGCATAATATAACATAACATATCTCATAACACATAATGTAAGGGTACTTTTGGGAATTCACCGTTCGGGTGCTGGCTGATCGTACACACGGCTCTGCTTTGTTTGTCTCAAACTCTTTTTACTCTTTACAAAAATTTCACTTCATTATAAAAATTTTCCTCAAATCCTCAGTTTGAGTTCATATACGCCCGAAGGTTCATCCGGATCTCTCAAACCAAGACCCTGATACCAACTTGTAACAACGTAAATTTCAAAATAAAAATTTCATTTTTGTCACAACCATTTTCACATAAAAAATGTTTTAAAAACATCCAATAATAGTTAACAAAACATATCGTATCCCAAGATCACAAAAATCAAGTCCTCTCTCTAGTGTGTACGAGTCACGCCGACGCCTTTCCACGGTCCTCGCTAGTACCTAAAACACATAACACAACAACTGTAAGCATAATTGCTTAGTGAGTTCCCCAAAATACCACTTACACACATACACCCTTCCAGGCCACGACCTTCCGGTCCATGTGTCTCAGGGGACTTCCGTCCCAACCCGGCAAACCTTCCGGCCTTACCCATGTTGACCTTCCGGTCCATAACTTCCTAACCTTCTGGTCCACATCATAATGCCTTCCGGTTCATAACATAATGCCTTCCGGCCCATATCATACATAGCATACATGTCACATACAAACGCATACAGAACATGCAACGCATATCATACAAACATGCACCTCATAACATACAAGACCTTCCGATCACACATAGGTACCTTTCCAGGTACAGTATAGTGAGAAGACTCACCTCAGGTATCTCGATAAGTCCCTGTCTTGGTAGAAATGTGATCTAGCCTCCGCCTAATCACATAAAGCAAATGCTCCCATAAATATAACTATACTCCAACCTTTCATTAACATCCCCAAAAGGGTAAAAGACCATTTTACCCCTCTCCTAGCTCAAAGGCCTCACTGTTGACCAAACCCTAAAGTCAACAAAAGTCAACGGTCAAACTTTGACCCGACTCGTCGAGTGCACTTGGGCGACTCGGCGAGTCTACACGTGTCCACTGACTCTCTTAGTCTCTCTCTTGGCACGTCGAGTCCTTCTCTTTACTCGACGAGTCACACCTGGCATGAATCGTGGGGCCACCCCGACTCAACTCGTCGAGTCTCAAGAACTACTTGGCGAGTACCGCCTTGAACCCCAGTCCTCTAAACCCCTTCTGACTCACTGAGTTATCCCTCAACTCGGCAAGTCTACTCACAGAGCTTTTCTCGTAAAGCCCTAACCCTACTCGCCGAGTCCCAAGAACAACTCGGCGAGTTCATGCCATGCACTTGCTCTAATAACCTCCTAAGGTCATATATGTGCCCCTAATGCATATATCTGGCCTTCTCAAGCATGAAAGTCACGTAAAGCTCGAAACTTGATGCATATATATCAACATAATGGCATCAAATGGTGATTTAATCCCAAAAATGGCAACCTAAGTCCAATAACCCCAAAATGACTCATAAAGCTCCATGGGTTAAAGTCTCTGGACCTCAATGAGTCCAGATCCAAAGTACAAACTCGAGAGGGGACTAAATACTCTACATATTCTTCTTCTAAAGGGTTTAAAAACCCTAACTCTATGAATCAACACCCAAAACTGGAGAAGGTCCGAATGAATACCTTAATATGAAGCCTTTGATCTTTGAAGACACTAGATTTGCACTTCCTTCAGCCTTCTTTTGCCTTGGTCACCTTCTCCTTCAAGTTTCACCAATAAAGATCAATAATGGCCTATCTTCTCCTCACACGCGATCTAGGACTCTCTCTGGGGTGTGGTAGCCGCAATGGACGACCATAAGGGCCTTTAAATAGGTCTCAAACCCTGGAAATTAGGGTTTCATTAAACAGCGTGGACTCGCCGAGTCCACTCATGAACTCGCCGAGTCCAGCCGTGAACTCGCATCCAAAACCACGACCGTACTCGGCGAGTTTAGACGCCAACTCGCCGAGTTCCCCCACAAAACCCAAAAATAATGGAACAAGATCTCATACCTGGAAATTCGGGTGTTACACATACCTATTGCAGTTAAAAACTTACGCTTGCATTGTCCTTTCAGAAAACAACCATCCAACCCTAGTACTTTACGACATCCCCTTTTCCAACCCTCTTCAATTGCTTTAAAGCAAATGTATATTATGTGAAATGTTGTGGTTTTATCAAGGTTTATAGTAACATAAATCCTAACTGTACTGTCTGGATTAGATCTCATCAACTCATGCCCATAGTCCCATACTCTTGCATAATGGTCACTCAATCTCCCATTAATTAATGACAATTCCCTCATCCTTGATTTATAGCATCTTGACCATGTGATGTTGCAATGAAACTTACTTTGTATTTTAACCTGCATCTCCTTGCATTTTAAGTTAGGTTGCCTAATCAGCTATTTCATAAGCTTCTTTGCTAACCAAGTAGGATTCATAAGTTTTGCATTGTTAAAACTCCTAACACAAGTATGCTTGGAATGACCTTTCAGTACCCATCCAAGAACCCCTAACCAGGAATGGGCACTTCTCTGGAGCACTTCCACATATTACGACTAGTCTAATACTATCACACTTTTTGAAACGAATTTGATAACCCTTACTAATAGCATAGTTAGTTAAAAACAATTTCAGCAGATGTGGGGATTCATACCTTTCACCAAACATTGGTTTCATTAAGTTCCATTTCACCTTTGGGTTGTGGGTGGAATACTCGAAATCATCATCAATACGTCTCTTCTTCATCACTACTTTGCACATACTTTGTGTCCAATGGTTGGTTATGGATTTGAGTTTGAGCATTATTGTGACATTGACCTTCAAGATCATCAGTTGCATCATCGTTATTGTCTTTTTCACAAAGAATGTTCAAAAATTCATCTCTGCATTGGAAAATTGGTTTCCTCTTAAAATAATCATCAAGCTCCACATCTATGGTATCCAAATCATACATGTCGTCCATTTTCGTCCTTTAAGACGGGGTAAAAACCCTAATTTACTGAGGTAGGTGAAAGTGAGAGAATGAAGATGGAAGAGAGAGTGAAATGTCGGGGGTTTTCAGTAAATGAGGGTATTTGTTTTACCGAATCCACATAAGCCATTTAATGCCAAATCAACACATGCAACCGGCTAAACATGGGTGACCGGATGTGAATGACCAATTTGTTCAATTTATCGAGCTTCCTAGGTTATTTTGTTTAAAAAAAATTTAAGATTAAATTGAAATTTTTTCTAAGAGTTCGATACTTTTCTAAAAAGAAATCGAGGTAGTTTTACAAAAGAATCCCCCGGTTCACCCGAAATGCGATACAGGGCCCAAAACCGCCGTCAAGAAATTCCGAAACCCTACATAAACCCTGAATCAATTTCTGCCATCGGTTTCTTAAAATAGCAAAATAAAGCCTCCATCCACCTTTCTTCTTCTTCAAGCTTCAGTGCCTATAGAATCGATGGTTTGAAGGAAATCACAGATATATCACTTGGAAGCATCAGGCAACATCAATGGCAAAGACATCCGCTTCAGGGATTTTTAACTTTTCTCCGTTCTCTTCTTCACCCTCACCCTCGCCGTCGCCGGCTGTTGGTGGGTCTGTTGATCCTCAATCGTCTGCACCGAAAAATGAGGAACCTACCACCCCGCGGGTTCGTAATGACAACCCAAGAACGACATCATCTGGATTTGATCCAGAGGCATTGGAAAGAGGTGCTAAGGCTCTCAGGGAAATAGCGGCCTCTTCTCAAGCCAAAAAGGTCTAATCTTTGGCGTAGTTTTTATTTCTTTTATTGTTTTGATCTGTTTTGTAAACTTTGCAACGAATTGAATTCGTTTATACTAAATTAACATTTGCTTATTCTTCGCTTTTAGGCTTTTGAGTTGATGAAGAAGCAGGAAGAGACTAGGCAGACAGAATTAGCTTCAAAGACGGCTGAATTTAAAGTAATGCAAGCTCAGGCTGAAACTGTAAGTTTGACACTGCCCCTGCTTCCAAGATGACTTTATGATATATTTTCATGCATGTGAGTCACATGTTCTGAACTTCTGATTATAGACGAGTTTATTACTTGTGTTTATCTAGATCAAGTGTTTGGGTTAGTCTTATTCCTGTTTCAACCAACCCCTTAAAATGCACACATTTATATACTCTCGTGTGCACACATATTTCACATAATTGAAAAGCCTTCCAGGGATCTTTAATCAGGAATAGACACTATCAATTGAAAAGACTTCTAACTTTCTTTCTCATAAGAATCTGAGATGTTCAAGGATCTTAATTAGGCCTAGGATACTGACTAATAGCTTTGTGGTGTTTATCTAATGACTTGTGCATGCTGTTTCTTTATTGTTGATTTAGCAAACAAAGTTGATTTGGAAATAAGTTCTGAATAAGCATAGGTGTCTAATCATGGAACATAGTGCTTACTTCCACAGCATGAAAATAACTAGAAAATCTAGCTAACATGTATAACAATGGCCATTAATAACATTTCTTGGCTACAAGCAGTGGCTCAAGATTTTCTCCTTTCACTTTCCTTCTTTCCCTCTACCTTCCTTTTTCTTATAAGCTGAGATTATTCCCTTTTTTTTTCCCCATGTTTAATATTAAAGCATATGTCTTTGTAAAAGTCTTATCACTTCTATGTTAGTCCTGAATGATGGTTATCCAGTTACTGCACATGCCAACTTAGTTTGGTCATATAAGTGTTCGATCTTCATTTAAAGTTGCATTTAGAATATGCATCTTACTATTATTTTATATTTTTGTTTATGTTTGCTAGGAGAGACAAAGAGTAATATATGATGAACAGAAAAAGCTAGCTCAACAACAAGCTCAAATAAAATCACAGATGGCTCGATATGAAGATGAACTTGCACGAAAAAGAATGCAGGCATGTTTTGTTCCCTTCATATTTTTTTGGTTTAATTCATAGAGGCATGAAATAAACTTCAAAAAAATCTTTCAGGCAGAAAATGAACATCACAGAACAAGAAACCAAGAACTTGTTAAAATGCAAGAAGAATCATCAATTAGACAAGAACAAGCTAGAAGAGCAACAGAAGAGCAAATCCAAGCACAACGTAGACAAACAGAAAGAGAAAAAGCTGAAATTGAAAGAGAGACAATTAGGGTTAGGGCTATGGCTGAAGCAGAAGCAAGAGCCCATGAGGCTAAATTAGCAGAAGATGTGAATAAACGAATGCTTGTAGAACGTGCAAATGCAGAAAGAGAAAAATGGGTTTCTGCCATTAACACTACCTTTGAGCACATTGGAGGTAGTGAAAAAATCTTGGTTTTTTCTTTTCTTATTTTTTGAATGGATAAAACCCTTTAAATCATATATGTTTTGTAGGGGGTTTGCGTGCAATATTAACTGATCAGAACAAGATGGTTGTGGCTGTTGGGGGTGTCACAGCTCTTGCTGCAGGGATCTACACAACAAGGTATAGTTTTTCACTTTGATATACAAAGTGTAATTATGATTAGTTAGTGATAATTGCTTAGGTGTTGTTTCTTTTTGAGTTAGTGGACTTAGTGTGTACATCTCTTAATGTCAATAGTTATATATAGTTGTTTCTTTTTGACTTAATCCATACTGAAATGACTTAATAGGATGAATATAGGGATATGCAAAAAAAGAAAACAAATATCTTCTCATGGATGAATCTGAGGATTTGGTTTCTATGTTTTTTCTTAAAAAAAAAATCCCCTTCAGCAAATAAAAATTACGTTGAGCTTGAATTGATTGTTCATTCTCACATGTTGATTTCTTTTTTGTACATATTTGAATTGATGTCTTCATTTGTATAAATGTTTAAAACTGTTGGTACTGTAAAAATCGTTTGTTAAATAGTTAGAAGGATAAGATGGTCATTTACTCGTATCTAGACAGTTTATTCGGTCCAAAAAAGGAGTAGTCTTTGTGTATATAGGAGTAACTCGATACATACAACACTTAACCCATTCAGGAGTTAATAAGAATCAAAAAAGTAACATGCCCTTAATCTTTATAGTTTTAATAAAGATAAAGAAAAACAATTGTTTGTATTACAGAGAAGGTGCTAGGGTGGTGTGGAGCTATGTGGACAGAATCTTGGGACAACCATCTTTGATCAGGGAATCTTCCAGAGGAAAATATCCATGGTCAGGCTTTTTTTCCCGTGGGCTGAGCAGCCTGTCACGTGGTGGTGGAGTTGCCACTCAAAATGGGAAGAATGCATTTGGTGAAGTCATTCTTAATCCATCTCTTCAAAAGAGAATTCAACAGTTGGCTGGAGCAACTGCAAATACAAAATCTCATCAGGCACCATTCAGGAATATGCTCTTCTATGGTCCTCCTGGAACAGGGAAAACCATGGCTGCCCGAGAGCTTGCCCGAAAATCTGTATGAATCTTAATCTTTTCTTTTTCCCATTGTTGTGTGTATTTAACTATTTATGATTTGAAATGTTTACAGGGGCTTGATTATGCATTGATGACTGGTGGAGATGTTGCACCTTTAGGTGCACAGGCTGTAACAAAGATACATCAGTTGTTTGATTGGGCAAAGAAATCTAATCGGGGTTTGTTGCTTTTTATTGATGAAGCAGATGCATTTTTTATGCGAGTAAGTCATTAATTAGTCTTACTCTCTTTACTATATAGCAATTGGTAAAACTAACAAGAAATGGGTATCTTTTTGTTTTAAAAAAAATTCAGGAGGGAATAAGACATATATGAGTGAAGCTCAAAGGAGTGCCCTAAATGCTCTTCTATTTCGCACTGGTGATCAATCGAAAGACATAGTCTTGGCTCTTGCAACAAATCGCCCTGGTGATCTTGATTCAGCTGTAGCAGATCGAATTGATGAAGTCCTGGAATTCCCATTGCCTGGAGAAGAAGAAAGATTCAAGCTTTTGAAACTATACCTAGACAAGTACATTGCAAAAGCTGGTGGAAGAAAACCAGGCTTCTTTTCAAAATTCTTTCAGAAAGAGCAGCAGAAGATAGAGATCAAAGGTTTGACTGATGATATACTGAGGGAAGCTGCTGCAAAAACAGATGGATTTTCAGGAAGAGAGGTTGCAAAGCTTATGGCAAGTGTACAAGCTGCTGTTTATGGAAGTGAAAACTGTGTACTTGATCCACTTCTGTTTCGTGAAGTGGTTGATTATAAGGTGGCTGAGCATCAACAGAGAAGAAAGCTGGCGGGGAATGACAGTGGTGGTGGTGGTGGTGATTAGTTAGTTATTTGGGTGGCATTTTGGGGCATGCAGGTGAGTTATCTGCTTTTGTGTCTTTGGTGGTCAACCCATTCGGTCAAATTGGGATGAAAGAAAGATTCTATCTGATAAAAGAGTTGTTATTGATATACAAACACAAACAATTATTAATTGTCTTTGTATTAGGCAAAGAATCGACTTCATTTTTAACAAGATGAGATGAATGTTTTGTTTGTTGGTAGCCAGAAATTTGTTGCAATAAAATCAGAATTTTCTTTAGCCAGCAGTTTTGTGTTTTGTCATTTTTTGCTTTCAATATCAAATGAGCAAAGAGAAATTATACATACACCTATTGGGAAATTGAATAAAGTCTGATGAGTAATATCATTATTTGGAAGCATGCCAAGAAGCTTTATATAGATTTAGTACATTGTTAAAATAGAAAATGGAACACAAGCTGAAAACATGCAGCATGAATAGAAGAGTGGTGTTTGGTGTTTTAAGATAAAATCTAGTGATGGTGATCCTGGACATAGCGTAGACCACAATACTTGCAAACAGCTGGTTCACTCTTGTCAAGGCATATGAACTCTATTGGATGCCCAAGTGCTGGATTTGTGTCTGCAATAGGAAAATACAGTAAAACCAAGTTAAATATGATGTATTTATTATAGGGTAAATATATATTAGTGATGCTACATAAGTAGAGTGGGAAGAGAAACCTCCTTCACAGGCTGCAATCCTGCCCTCAACTTTGATGGGAGGGACTTCATTGATCAACTCCATGGGAGATTTCTTGCTTGTATCCTGTCGATCACAAAGGATGAACAGTGAGTAAGAGCTGTTGGTTTGTAAAATGTTTGTGGAATGAGTAGAATCTTTCAAATGATTTGGAATCTAAAACCCTTTGTAAAATGATAGAATTGCAATTAGCAGTTAACGAAAATTTAAATTTATTAAGCTATATGTTTCAGTAAAGATGGATTGCACATGATCTTTTACATACTTAAAAAATTTGTCTCGGGTAGAAGGCAGCTACTTTTTTTAGATTGTTCTAAAAAGACTATAATGCAAACAAAGATAAAAAAAATTTTAGTTAAGGATAAGGAATGGTAAAATCATTCAAATAAAGATTTTGATGGAATTCAACTGCATTGATTTATCAACCATACACAACATGGGGGGGAAATCTTTCATTCCAGTTCCTTCGAATATCCTCAGAATTCATGAACCAAACACCACTTTAGATTCACAAATCCATAATAAAATTTCACGTGATGATTATCAGAATCAAAAGTATTGGATTGAAATGAATAACAAATAATGCCATTTATAATATACACGGACACACATTGATGGCAAAAATGTTCTGAAGAGAGGAAATAATCAGAATCGCAATCAAGAAACAAGTATAGGGCATGAAACTTGTTAACACAAAATGTCAAATAACAGTATGTATTACTAGGGGGCATGAAACTTGTCCAAACCTCTAAAATGCAGCTCCACCTCCACCCAAAGGTTTTAGACGAAGTTTGGTTTTCCAAACACCCACTTACTGGTTTGAGCTTTATTAAGATTCTAGATTACAAGATTTAACAATTCATGATTTTTATTAACAAATGACTACTTAACTTCATGAAATTAGCGTCTGGTGGTTTGTTTATGACTTGATGTGTATGCCCCATTGTCAAATGAATAACATATACATGGAAAACCTAATCGACCAACTGGAAATACAAGGAAAAGAACACATTTTTAGGGTTTATACTTACCTGCATCCATTTAGCGGTGTGGCTGGTGGTGATTTCGCTGTTAACGACGCCGCTGAAGGGTCTGAGCGACGATGAAGAAGAAGATGTTTTCAGGGCTTTCAGAAAATTGGAAGTCATGGAAAATCCTCGTTTCGCCCCGTTCATTGCCATCGAATCAATTGAGATCAAGGATGGTTTGAATGGAGAAATGAAGATCGTAGGTAATAGGGTTGAAGTTCTCGGCCTACGCACGCGCTTCCTCTTGTGTTTGGAGCAGCCGATTTGATTGAACCAAAGTACGAAACGGGTAACGGGTTGTAAATTGTAACTTGTACCCCCATCTAGTTTGTAGTTATTTCATTTGAGCACCTTCGACTTTTTTGTCATTCACATGAATAGTAAGACACATAAGAAGTTGATTTTTAGGCTAAAAAGAGTGGTGCGGTAAGCATGTACCTCTTACATGGAACTCGGCAAATGAAGAAAAAAAAAATCCCGTGAATGACATGTTTGTGTCATTTCTCCCTCTTCTGCAATATATGGGGTTGAGGTGGGCTTCTTTTAGGGTAAGGTGGGACGACATGTGGCTTGCCATTTGGGACCATTCCGTTTAGTCTTGTCAGTAATTTCTTAGGATATCTCTAACCCACACTCAAATGTCATTTTTTCCTCTATTTTCTCCCTATTTTTTTCCAACCCTACCATATTTCTTCCTCATATTTGGAGATATGAATAATATTACCTCATATATGGGGTAATACTATTCATATCTCCAAATAGGGGATGAAGTTTCAGTTGTTGGGTTTAATCTTTTGTTCTATATATTTATATATTTTTAGTTTATTTTATCTATTAGTTTAATTTAAATGTAATATTTAATATTTATAATATTTTGTTATATAATAAATTATATCAATTAATCATAAATATAAAATTTATTTTTATTCATAGAATTCATATAAAAATTTAATAACATTTTAAAATCATGAAACACGATAACGTATTAACAAAAGCATGTATAATATTTATTTTTATAAATACATGTATAATATTTATTTATAAGTATATTTATAAATAAATTTTGGTTTATTTAATATTATTGTAATAAAAAAATTATAGATTATATATTTATTAAAAGTAAGTTAGTACACGGGATGTGTTTGATAATTTATATAAGTTGACAAAATAGAATATACTAAGAATACATTTTTTTGGAGGTAAGAAATGGAGTAAAGTTGAAGATGAAACACTATTCACCTCATTGTGGGTGAGATGATATTGGGGTGTTTATATTATACTAATCCAATAAATGTGGTTAGCCAACATAGAAGATAATATATAAGAAAAAAAAATAACTCATCCTAGACTCATATGAGATAGATATGACTGTTCAAAGATAACAAAAACTTTATATAAACTAAAAATGCTAAGTGTGAAAAAAAAAACATATAAGCATAAAACTACATGACAAGTACTTTATCATTATCAACAACATTTTCAGAATATTACAAAGTTGAGAAACAAATATAACAAATACAAGTACTTCCATTCTAAAACAAGTTAAAAATTGATACTAAAAATTTCAACATATCAACTCTCTACTCTAAAATGTCCATAGGCGTACGCCTATTTTCTTGTCCAATTTTATCATGTGTCGCATCTTCAAATCTGGTATAAAAGTAAAAACCGAAAATAAAACAAAGTTAGTATGTACTCAATGAATTGGTATAAAAAATCAAGAAATATGTTCAAACTTATTACCCGCGGCTACACCATCATCTTTTAAAAGATCTTCAATATTGTCTACAATTGTTTTCCTCAATTTTTTTTTCTAACCTAGTCTTGGGTGCAAACCAAAGTCTCTACATGTCGACAAACTTGTTCGGTATAGATCTAATATATGTTCACTTGTTATGAGGAAGTGTTTGCCCCCATGACATACATGTTTTGCAATTTTTTAATCAAAAAGTATATTTCTTTATCTATGGAAGTCGCATTATCAACTATCATACTCCTAACATTTTCAATACCCCAATCATGAATGCAACCTAATGACTCACAACCTATGTCATTTTCCTTATGACTATCGATAGGTATAAAATTAATGATGTGTTTGTGCATGATCCAATTTTCATCTATGAAATGCTTAATGACCCATATAGTTGATCATATGACACAAGTTAGTCCAAGTGTCCATAATCAAATGCATTGTAGTTGTTGTACCACTTAAGTAATAGAATATTTCTTTTCTTTCATCAACATAGTAAATTGCAACATCGTTACTAATTTTATGTCGAGATGGCAAATTTACATTTTCGTCAAGTGTGTTCGTATACTAAATAAATGCTTTATTTTCAACAAATTCAAAGGGTAGTTCACACATAGTTGTATAAACTTAATAAAGTTTTTTTTATCCTTTTGTCATCACGCTTCCATATACCTACACTTCTCTCACCGCTATTTTTTTTAATTGAAGTGTACTTTATTTTTTAGCACTATCCGATTTTTTTTTATATAATTAGGACAATGCTTTCTCAAGCTAGAAGTATTGTTATTTCGTGTATCATCTTTGAGAATCGTGAAGCAAATTTTGCAATTTTCATGCTCCCGTTTAACTCGATTATCATTACCTCGTCAAAGCATCTCCAAGCATCAAGCATCAATTCTTTTCTTTGATTCATTAGGTTGTCTTTTTTTTTACTCGTTTATTGCATATTTTCTTGGTTTTAGGTATTCTCATCAAAGACAACATAATGATCATCCTAAACATAATAAAACATTATAATGAAAAGTAAACATAAGGATTTTCCAACAAACCAGTACAATTACAATTTGAATTTCAAAAAAAAAAAAAAAAAAAGAGTACTACTAAGTACACTAATTTCCAAAAAATCAAATATAATTTCATGAAAGAGTACTAATAAAGTATATCAATTGCCTACTAATCAACTAGAATTTTCCAACAAACAAATATAAGTATAAAGTTACAACTTACAAGTAAGTTACTCTAAATCTTTAGCAAAACAATACAACACACTAGAAATACATGGAATGATAATCATCAATGAGAATACATGATTATTTGAAAACTACAATAATAGGTTCGCAACATACCAAATAGTTTTTTGTCTTATGAATTCTGCTTCGGTTCGCCGTAAAATATTTTCTATATAAAAAAATTTCTTAATAAGTATCTAATATTTAAATTAAGTTCAAAAATAGCTAAATAAACTTATGTGTACCATGAAAGTTAATTATATAACAATTATTAGATACTTGATTTTGTAAGTCTAACTATTCTAAAAGTAAAAAATCAAAAATGTAGTCTATATAATTTCAAATAGGTTAATGATTTATAGGTATAATAAACATTATCTCATGTACATATTTAGTCTCATATATATTGTTGTACACATATAATCATTAAACTTATTTACAATATTCTAAAATATTATTAATGACCGACTATTTTAGGTTTAATTGGTTTTCGGGGTGCTTGGTAGCTCCGGTAAAACATCAGACATCTTATCCAG